GTGCACGGCGGGGGGCCACGCTGTCACTTGTCCTCTTCCAGGAGGGACGCCCCCAAACGCGCCTTCCCGAAGGAATTGGGGTCCTTCCCCGGCTGAGCTGGACCCCCCGCAACCCTGCTCTGCCCTCCCCGCCCCGGAGGCGGCCGAAGGCCAGGGGGACACAGCTGGGATTCCTCTGGGGTGAGAGGACTGTCCCCAGTGTCACCCATGAGTGGGGCACCTCCCAAAACTGAGCCCCAGGGAGGGCTGTAACCCGAGTGGAGATATGGGGGAACGTCCCCAAGAGCTTGGGGGGGCTCCAGCACCCCATGGCCACGTGTGGGGATGGCTGGTCCCCCCACGGCAGCACACCCCACCCAGGCATGTCGCCAGGTTGCCATTGCAGAGGGAGCAGCACGGATGCGGTTTGTCCTTCCCAGGCTTTATTTGGCTTCTGCCCCACGCTCAGGCCGAGGCACAGGTGCACCTCCTGCGCCCCACGCCAAGGGCCAGCCCCATGCCGGCCAGCCCCATGCCGGCCAGCCCCACGCCAGCCAGCACACAGATCAGCCCTGTCCCCACGCCGGGCACTGCTGTCACCCCACCTGCAAAATCAAGGGGGGCTGTTAAGACTCATCACCAGGGCTGTGCCACAGGGCTGTGGCCAGTGGGGACTCACCCTGACCTCTCTCCTTCTGCTCTCCCACTGCACCCAGGTCCCTCGAGAGGAGAACGGGGCCGATGACCACGTCGGCTTCAGCCTCTTTCCCTGGGGAGGAAGGAGGGATGAGGTGGGCTCATCCCGCAACCCCGGGGCGTCTCCCGCATCCCCGTGGGGATCTTACCGTTGGCATCGTGGCGGCGGAAGCGGCGGCCGGGCCATTGCTCCAGGGGGTTGAGCCTTCGGGAGAGTGCAGGGGCCTCACAGTTGCCTGTCTCACAGCAGCTGCAGATGTCCCGGGTGCCTTCCACAGGTGCCCAGCTGTAGCAGAGTGAGAGCATCATCACTGAAGCCCCCTCAACAACCACAGAGCATTTGTGTCCCACAAATCTGGGTCCATGATGCATCCCTGTGCCATGCTGGGGGGCTGTGGGATGCTGGTGGGGACCTACTAGACATGTCCCATCTCAGTGCGGTGGCTACTCACGTGTTTCTGGCTTTGTTGAAGGAGCAAGCCTTGTTTAGGGGGTCCGGAGTTTGGTCTGCTGGGGTCACCTTCAGGTGGCAGGTGATGTAGATCTGTGGGAAGGGCAAAGGAGAGAGATGGTGGGGGATACTGGCTTGGTTTGGGGCTGGCAGGGGGACACACAGAGCCTTACCAGGTTCCTGGTATCCCCTGCGAACCTGAATACATCAATCCTGAAGCGCAGCATGTCCTCCTGGGGCCGGGGGGTGATGAAGGCAGAGCTGGTGTCATCCAACCTCCCATCAACCAGGCACCTGGGGTGGAACGGTGGAGGGAGTCAGCATCTTAGTGTGTGTCCCCCCAGTGCCGCTGCTGGTGGGTCCCCGGCACTTACCCATTGAAATCGATGATGGTGTAGTGGGGTGAAGAATCGGTACCGGGGCTCAGGGCGGCCACGCAGCTGTCCACAAACAACCGCAGTGGCACGTGGCTCTCTGTGCTCACCTCAGCTTGGATGTTGAGGACGTCACCCAGTTGGAAACCAGTGAAGGGTCTCTCAGCACTCCAGTCCTCTGCAAAGCAGCACCGGGGTGACAAAGTGGGGGTGACTCCAGCTGTCCCCGAGCTCCCGTGGGATCAGAGCCAAGGCTCCACCCAAAAGCAGGAGTGCTGGTGTTTGCCATAGGGTAGGTTGGCCTCCCCAGTGGGATGCTGGGTCCCTGAGCTCCCCCACACTGGGAAAAGGGTAGAAAAATCCCCCATCTGCAGGTTGGGGTGGCTTCCCACCTACCATTCATGAGGCGCAGGGAGAACACCAGCCTCTCCTCTGCTGACAGTGTGGAGCTGAAGGGAGCCCAGGTCGGCCGGATGGCATTGCTGCTCACATTCTCCCTCCTGGGCAAGGACCACCGCACATCAGGATATGGCCCTGTGCTGGTCGACAGGGGCAGGGGGCACCGAGGATGGGGGGGGCCTCACCTGGGGTAGTGGCACTCGATGGGGATGACAGCGGGGTTGCTGCGGATGATGACAGGGTTGCTGGCAGGGCTAGGGTCATAGTTGAGGAGCGTGCGGTAGATGAGGGAATCCGGTGTGATCTGGACAGAAAAGCAGTGAGAAACCAGCAGTGAGGCCACCCCACCTCCTACCACCACTGAGCCATGTGGCCATCCTTTCCCAACTGAAAAATGCTGGGGAAATCAAAGAAAGGAGGGAAAAGCCAGGGAAAAGGGGATGGAGAAGGAGCCCTGCTGCATTATCTGTGAGTTAAACTTCTTAGTGGGCCAAAACACAAGCAAAATGGGTCTGACATGGGGGCTTTGCATCATCGGCATGTCTCCAGCTGAAGGGGCAAAGCAGCTTTGGGCAAAACCACTCTGGTTTGGGTCATATACCTGCTCATCCTTCCCCCAGGGTGTTCCTCCATGGTGCTGTGCGTCCGGCACCCAGAGCTCCCCTGGCATCACAGGGGGTGCCCCGTGCACGGTCCTGCAGCCTGAAGCTGCTTGGGGAGGGGGGATGACAGGCAGGATCCCAGGACTGGGAGAAGAACTGCGGGGAAGAGGTCTTACCTGCACGATGCTGCCACACTCGTGGAGGCCGGCAGTGAAGGTGACGGTGTTGTGGGCAGGGTTCATCGAGGAATGCTTGCATGCTGCTGGCCCCAGCGTCAGGTCGGCCACATTAACCAGGCGGCCAGTACCAAAGAGGTCCCTGTTCACTGTCACCACCAGCTGAGCCTCCTGGCACTGCACCATCACCGGATGCTGGCTGGAGATGGCTCGAGATTGGGGGTCTTCCACCCAGGACCAGGTGTGGGGGTCTGCCCGTGCTCCCCGGCTTGCTGCTTCACCCCAGGAGAAATCCCAGGGTGGGTAGGCAGCCACCTCGCCCACTGCCCAGCAGAGAAGAGAGAGGATCAAGCCGCTTTCAGGTCCCATCTCTCCTTCTTCCAGCAAACAGTGGCACAGAGAGCCGGGGATGTTCCTCCAGCCTTTATATCCCCCCAGGAGCAGGAGCCATCCGCCCCTGGGCTCCCGTTTGGGGACCAATGGCACCCAAAGGCCAGCCCTCGTGGGTGCGGGGAGAGGGGAGGCATAACCGAGTTATTTCCGGGGTGCCGGGACCCCCTGTTCCTGGGCTGCCCAAGGCAAGAGAAAACATCCTCGTCAGCCTCTTTGGGGAAGTTGTTTATAAAACTCAGCAGAAGCTGGAGACGGGGAGACTGGTACAAAGTGGCTTGTTTAGGTTATAGGGTGATAAGGGGCTTTTCAAGGCTGCTGGGGAGGTGACAGGAGAGGGAGAGCAGGGTCCATGCTCCCAATCCGGGTGCTTCCCATCTCCTCCATGGGGACCATCCCTGCCCGGCACTGTCAGCCCCCCTGGGACTTTGGTTTTCTGCTTGGATGCTGATGTGCTGGGGGTGGCCAGGAGCCCACATGCTCACCGCTCCAGCCCAAACAAGGGCTTTATGCATCCCCCTGCTCCTCAGCGGGGCCAGGACTGGGATGTTCAGTCAGCAGCAGATGACAGAGAGCCCTCACCACTGACACAAGCATGGCTGTTCTCAGCGGGGGCCAAACAACCCCCATTTCAGCCTCAGCAGTGAGTTCATTAGCTGCAGAACCACAACCTTTCCTTTTTATCTCTTCTGCTTTTCCACAGCTTTTTGGGTTGTGTTTGTTTCATTGCCTTCAAGGAAACGGGTGTGAGGGAGAAGGCAGAGGCAAGGCACTCCACCCATCGCTCCCTTCCCCACACTGCAGCACCCTGTGGGTTTGTATCCCACTCCCCACAAGCACAGCTGGGCAGTGCCTGACTCCTCACAGCTGGGGAAAAGCTGCTTAAAAATAAACCCTACGTGTTTTCAATCTTCATTATTGGAGTTTTTGTCCCTTCTTTTGAGCATCTTTAACTGGTTTTCCCTGTTAGGGCTCTGTGAGCATCTTGTTGGCTTTGTAATAGGAATGCTCCTTTTCATACCCCAAATCCCTCTCCATCTTTCAGGATGTCTCTGGCAAGTCTTAGGGACATTAGGAAGCCTCTAATTTGGAGGCTTGAGCAGGAGCAGCTAAGCAGTTTCTGAGAAAATGAAAAGAAATTGAAAGGTTTGGGGGAGATGTCAGCCAGCCCACTCTTAGCAGAAATGCCACTGGGTTTGGAGCTGGGACTGGCTCGTGTCTGACTCAACATCCCCCAAAACCACCTGTGTGAAGTTTTATGGGCCAGGATAAAGCCTTCCTCCTTTCACCCAGGAGCTGATGCCCCATCCCCGCTGCTGTCAGCCAGTCCAGAACTTCTCCTCCATGTTTGAAATACCTTGAAATTGGCATTTGCGTAGAAATGCCAGGGATTCCAGCAGGCTGAGTCCCGTGCGTCATGGAGATAACAGCAGCGGGCATTGCTGAATCAGTAAATAAGTGCCTGCCCCCCTCCCAGGAGAGAGCATCACTGCTTGGCCAGGTCCTTGGCCACAAGGACTGTTGGAGATGCCTGGTCTCACCCCATTGCATCCCCGAGAGCCACAGCTCAGGAGGCAGCTCTGGGGTGAGTGTCTCTGGGTACCAGGGCTTAATCTCAGCAGGAGAATAAAGTCCTTTGATGGGTTACCTTGTGTTTCCACAGCTCAGATTAGCAAAGGTGAATCTCAGATGAAGAAACATGCCCAGACTCAGGGCAGAGGAAACATTCCACTGCAAAAAAGGGGATTTTTATTCCCAGGTCAGGCCCTGCCAGGACCAGCTGTCCCATCTTTATTCCAAGCACAACACAACATTGGCCATAGACCAGCAGAGTTGGGAAAAGTGTGAGCTTTTTTTTTTTTTGAGGAGGCAGAGA